AAATGCATATAGTAGTCCGAAATCAACATAACGCAAAAGGAAAATCAAATCTGGTTTTTAAGCGCAGCATTTTTTTTTCCACCTCACATTTTCAACTCAAGACTCCTAAACTATTCTGCGCAAAATGATAAAGAATGAATCTAAAGAACCAGCTAAAAAGTTGAAAATACTTCTTCTCTAGGAAGATAAAAAAACTAACCCATTAAATTGATGATCTGATGACGTGCAGCATTTGCATTTATTGGTGAAAATTCAACTTCGCAACTAGAGTGCAAAATGTTATTCGGATCAGGATTGAAAGACAGGAACACCTGAAGGCGTGTATGGAGCAACTGTTTAAACACCATCACTTCTGTCGGAGACGCGTATTTGACCAAACGCCGAGTGAATTCTATTGTTTGTCCTAACTTTTCAGTCATTTGTTGCACCTAAAAAAAGAAAACTCTGTAAAACAAATGTTTTAAAAAATTGACAACAACGTGCAATAACATTTTAAAACTAATTCGATAATACCTTTTTGTCGATGAAATTTAGTTGCATCTGTTTGCCACTTTGCGAATTCTCCAGTTCTTTAATCAACAGCCTCCGGCCCTCTTCAACAAAACTAATTAAAGTTTTAGCTGCTTCATCAACACTTTGCTGGGCACGGTTGAAAGACAAAGATAAACGACTCTGCGCCGCATCCAGCAACTGAAATCAGAATAATCATCAACTTCTACCAATCACACCAGTGGAATGCAAATAAATGAAAAAGGTAACAACGAAGAACTAAGAAACATAGCATCCGCTGCTGTGAACTGAGCCTCCGGTCCGCTAAGAGAAATGTCTCCCTTCAATGGTCGCATCATTAAAGATCCTTATTACACCACAAGATTTCTAATTCTACCTTGAACATTTCTTGAAGTTCATTTTGTTTCATGCTGGCTTCATTCACCAGTGACTCCATTATGCTCATCTGCTTATCAGCAACGTTACTGATCAGTTCGTACTGATGTTGAGGAGAAGGATGATCCGTCTGTACGCACTCGTTACATATAGCCAAATTGCACGTTAGACAGAAATAGCGCAACGGCTGTGTGCGATGCTGTAAATTAAAAAGTAAGGAATATAAATAAATATACTACTTCTGTAGGCAAACAAAATATGTTTATGAATGATAGTGCGTTTTCAACTAAAAATTACGCCCTGTGAATTGGAAACAAACCATTTTTAAATTAGGAAATATTTAAAATTGCAATAAACATTTAAACATCAATTAACCAAAGATATAAGAATAAAAAAAGGAAAAAAACTGAAATCGAAGTTATAATAAGAATTACCTGAATACATTTACAGCTCCCCTCCGTATCCGACAGAGTTGGTGAAGTTGAAGCACCGTGACCAAGTTGTTCAACTCGATGACCTTCAAAACAATGCATGTACCGGTGCGCCAGAGTGCAATTTGTACACAAATAATGAGCACAGTCTTGACAAAAAGCACTCGCTCGCTCACCACTTTTACAACCTGTACATGTCGATGACGCACTGTTGCTATTCTGTAAACACACAAATAATGAGCAAATAAAGAAAAAGAGAGAAACTAACAGAAAGAAAAAAACCAAATAAAACTGAAATTTCATTGCAAAAACAAACAAAACTCTGTCCTTCTTTTTCTGTTGAAGTTTCAGAGAAAATATGTACATATCTTCAGCTGCAGTCAAAGATAATGAATAATAATCGCTTATAAATTGAAATAAAAATTACTAAATTTAGTGACCTATCAAATTTTAGATATGCTGTTAAATCCTTAAAAAATCACCTGGTCATAAGTTGGCGAATCGCTCAGCTGTGGAGAAGCTGAAATAGTAGGAGATCCAAATATAAGTCCCTTGTCTTCGTTAGACATCTGGCGAGACAATGCATTTTCTAAGCCGTAATCGTTGAGCAGACTGTCAATACCTTGAATAGAAGAACTAATTGAAAAATCCTGCAGAAACGACGAATAATTGTTTATACAACTAGAAATGAAGATAAATATGTAAAATTTTTGAACTTCTGTAACGTTTAACATTGAAAATAGTTATTAATTAATTATATAAATAAATAAATTTAAAAAAATATTCACCTAGCTGAACAGAAAGTTGTGTTTCAACGTGACACTGTGGGCAGACAATTTTTTCTGCCCCGGTCTCCATTTGCCGCTCGAGACATCCTTTGCAAAAACTGTGAAAACATGCAAGAACTTTCGGCTCGCGAAACGGCTCCAAACACAACGGACATTTGACCACCTAAATAACAATGAAAAAACTAATCCAAAGAAAAAAAAAAACAAAAAATAATAAATTAACAGCTGTTTTCTCCTTTGTCCATATCATTAAATCCTTTTCCTTCTTTGAACAATTGATTAAAACCCAAAAAAAAGTTTTTTTCCCCTGTTTTCTTGAGCTTTTAACAATGATACAAATATTTCCATAAATAAACAGCAAAAAAAAAAAATGAAAAAAACTTTAGGTATTTGTTCAAAAATTGAACCAATTTTCAAAAGCAAATTCCAAACGAAATGACAGAGAAAAAATTGATACAAAATATTAAAAACCATACATTTCTTTTTTTTTTTTT